TGTCTTAGGAGCCTTGGCAATTCTGTCGGCGCGAATCAATGCATTGAATCTAGCCCTACAAAGCGGCGTATGTTTGGTTGATTCGAATTCGCATCCTCGGCACCCCGGTGTGGCACCGAATTTGAAAACTCTATCCATGGTAATATACTCATTGTGCGTCCGTGGCGTGGTCACGCCATCAATCGCAGCAAACGGTATGTCTAAAGGTTGAATGTCATCTAGCTTTGGCTGATCAAAGTTTGCTAACGCAGTTTCGGCAGCACGCTTCAAAGGAAGTTGTGGTGGCTGTTTGTCGTCAACCCAAACCTCCTCGGTAGGAACAGCTATGGGGAGTGCATAACCGGGAGTGCGATTCTTGATCTTTTGGTAATCCAGAACAAACAACACCCCTTTAAAGCTCTTTGGGCCCGAATCATATCTAAACCCAGCGAACAAACCCGGATTCGTTGAAGGAGCTATCTTATCCCTCAACGTAGGGTCAACACGATAATGCACGAGCTGTCCCAACAGAAGCTTGCGTCCAGTGAACTCCGTGCCAACTGCGAGGCAGTGGCGAGTCTGATCTTTGCCAGCAGCAATGTGCTTTGCAGATAACATTGTAGCCGCATAGTCTACACTTAACGGCCATAAATCCGGAACGACCTCGAAGCCAGCACCTAAGTGCGTTGCTCTCGCGATCTCTTCAATGGTTCTGATGTCTCGTTCAAGCTGTGAATTGTGGGGAAAACGATTTTCAAGCGTACCCTCATGTATGAAGCCCAACCGCTTACACGCAGCCACAATCTCAACTGCTTGATCGGATTTGCACATGACGGTTGTTCGATCATCATACGCTGGGCCTAAGAACAACAGAAGGTTTCTCGAAACCGAATCCGTGTCCCTTTTTGCAATCGGATAAGCTCTAATCCATCCTGAGTATTCATCGCGCACTATTTGGACTGCATTTTCTTTGCCGTCTTTAAGCTTTCTTACGATGATGAAATCAGTGGCGATCCTTTCCCCAAATTGTGTCACCTCGGGCAGCATTCCTCGGTCCTCGAGTGGGTCCGTGCGCTTCGACGTGACTCGCTTTCGATACATCCTGCTCCTTTGGCATGTGGGGCATGCCGGGTTCTTTGGAAAATGGGACAATCTATGCTCAAGACTCTGCGCTTCTTTTACAAGTCTCCGATGCCTAGAAAGCCCATCCTCTTCGCCTGACTCTCTTTCTGAATCTGCCAACGCGCCATCACCTGGTAGCTTTGCCGGTGGCGGTAACGGTGGTGGCGGCACTGGTTGATCGGGATCTTCTTCGGGAGCCTTTGGTTCCTCTACTTCTACGGTCGGATCGGGATCCCTTGATCCTGCGGCTGTTGAGCTAGGGACTCCGGGATCATAGAAGATTTCACGTGACTCCGAATCAACAGTGATTCGTTTTGAGGTCTTTGACGAACGGGCTGAGTCATGCATCAACTTCTTTTGGGCCGGCATAGCGAACTGAACTTCTTCGGAAAAGATCGGTACATTACCTTCTACCCTAGCTGCCTTATGAATCCGTGTGTTATCAGCTGCTAGCTGTATCGCGTCCTGGGGCGCAAAATACGGTAATTCACCTGGCATCCAAATGAAGGCGTAACCTTGAGTGACGAGCTCGCCCATACTCCGAACAGTGGGGCAACTATTCAGCACGTAGCTTTTGTGATGCCCAAAGATAGCTCCAACAGTGTTGAAGGTGCTATTGCTTTCAGTCCTACCGTTGCCCGTTTCAAATGATACTGGCTCATCCTCGTGACATACTAGGTCATCAGGATAAACACCCTGAGCCCTCAACGACTCAAAAGAGGTCAAGCTGCGACCTGCACCCGAATCCGCTATCCAGTCAAGCTTATAGCTATAACCCGAAGCCCTTTGAACCCCGGCTGGCAACGAAAGAATGGCAGGCGCTGCGAGGGATTGCGATGTCCAAGCTTCATGTGCAATCGCAGAAAAGTCAGGACAAACAAAGGTGGCAAGTGTAGCAAGCGCTTTGCAAACGGCGTTGAAACCGATACGCAACAGGCTATTGTGGGAATCACGAGTGGCGGATTTGCCAACACGTGTTGCACTTCCGATAGCTCTCCCTGCGGCCGTTGTTGGGAGTAGCAATGCTACCGCGGCTGATGAAGTAGAAGCTCCTTTGGGCTTACCGCTCCCCCCTGTCTCATGTGAAAATGGACAGTCTTTGCCTCGGTTGCATGTTCCTTTTGGGAAGAACACACATGGTACGGTAGCTTTAGCCTTAGCGCTTGCATCCGCCTTTGGCGGGGGACCCTTTGGATCGCCTTTACCTTTCCCTTTACCTTTGCCTTTATCCTCACCGGATCCGTCACCCTTGGCTCCACCCTTAGCCTTAGCCTTGGATTTAGCCTTAGCCTTACCTTTTGGTGTCCCTTTGGGAAGCTTTCCGGGCGCTGCTGGAACGGCGGTGTCCTTTGCGGGAACTGCTGTTGCAATCGACTTTGCCTTTCCATTAGCATCCTGACCTTTAGGCTTTGCCGTGGCCTTATTCCCTTTACCCTCGGTTTCTCTAAGCATTGCTTCCCTAAAGTCACGCTCGTTGGCGTCTTCACGCAGCTCTGCGAGGTGATCTGAGAATTGCTCCCAGAGCCATCCGAACGTCCTCCTACGGGAAGTTGGGGAGGAATCCTTAACTTTGTCAATGATCCGTTGCATTCCCCTTGAACTCTTAATCTTACAGTAAAACCACGAAAACAAGGTCGCGTCAGACGGCCAGTGCTCAGGGGCTATCCCATTCAGAATGTATTCGACTCTTTCCTTAAAAGTCTGCATCTGATTGTATGAGAATCCGTCCAACGTTACAGCCAACAACGTTTGCTGTGTGACCGTAGCACCTCTCACCCGATCTACGCGAAACCTGCGCGAAAGCATTGCTATCATCGCTCGACCAGATGGTAAAACTCCATGTGCGTGCGCCCTCTCAATGTACGCCTGCACTTCAAGCCCGAACTCCCCTTTCATATACCTCGAATCCGAAATCTGCGATGCAAGGTATGAGTCTAACCGTGGGAGCTGATCAGGATTGTTCTGAAGCTGTGCAATCTCGCGGTTTGTCACCTCAGTTCTAATGCATACCTGCAGCCATCTAAGAATCCTGGCCTGACCCGTGCGATCAATAGCAGAGTATTGCGTCAGTAGCGCGTTCCGCCACGATCGGAAACCCACACTATCCTTTGGAAGCTGTGGCATCTTCAGGTCTTTAAGATCCTTATACTTATAAGTAGCTGCTTCATAGTCCTCTTCCTCATTTCCATCATGAGGCTGCGCATCAGCACCACCATCATAACCCCGATCATTGTTACCAGCAGCTCGCGGCTCAACAATGGGATCATCATCAACCTGTTCTTCTTCTTCTTCACCCTCCTCGGGATCTCCTATGTTGAAGACCTCAGGCTCAGGAGGCGGTGGCGGGCCCGGCGGCCCAGCGATGGGTGTGATGGCAGGCGCAAAACCCGCACCAATCCCGATACCTTTACTTGTAGCCTGTCCCGCTAGAGGTCTTAGGCTAGAGAATGGTGTCGTGAACACAGGCGATGCATTCGTATTCGATGATGTTGTTGCCGACCGCTCACATGCATAAGCCGATGGGCGATTGGCAAGTGATGATGAGGACCGTGCCCATGCATCAAAGAAATTCGTTGATGCTTGTCGCTCGCATGCATAAGGTGGGGGACTGGATAAGTACGGGGCTTTAGCAGCTTTGCCAAGTGGAATCCCCGATACCGAACAATCCGAATCCTTCTTATGATCCCTGCGCCCCTTCGCCTTTGGTGAATTTCCGGCGGACGAGGACAACACTGCATCTTTAAGCTCATTCATGGTTTGTCCAACATGTGATGCCATGGCCTTAAGCGCTTCAGTAATCTCCGCGCCATTTTGGGTTTGGGGAATCTGAGGTACACTCGTATTCACAGCACCGGCCTTAACTTCCGCTACGATGCTTTGCAACTTCGCAATCTGACTGTAAAGCTCCTGCTGTTGACGAGCTAACATCTCGTTTTGTTGCTTCAAGCTAGCAATGGTCTCATTTGCGATTGCCAGTTGCCTCGAAGCTTCAACGGAAACCTCCGAAACCATAGCTTGCGCCTGTTGCTCGATGGCCTGAACCCGTGTTTGGGCTTGATTGCTCATGTTGGCGGCGATAGCCTGGACGTGATCCTGAGCTTGTTGTTGAACCTCGGAAGCATATGCTACTGCCTGGCTTTCAACAATCTGGGCTTGCGCCAATGCCTGGGAATGAACCTGAGGGTCAACTCCTTGTACAATGACACCCAACTGCTGATGCTTATGCAGATGAACCTCCTGTGTTGGTGGTCCAAACGTCACTGGATTACCGGAAGGCGTTGGCATCTTAGGCTTTGCAACCTCGCACGCATACACGTGCTTTGGTTTTGGGGCGGTTTTGTTCCTATGGTAGGGACTAGAAGCCCTCGAAGGCCTGTTTGATGATGATGCAGCAACAATCCTACCCTCGGATGCGGTTCTACTCGCACTCCTGGGTGAGCTTTCGCTCCCGCTACTTTGTTTAGTTGCGGTTACGACCGATAACCCGAATGACACATCCGGTGCCTGCACAGCAGCTGCCGCTTCGTCGGAGGCAGAAGTGGAAGAGATCTGCAGGGGATCCGTCTCCATCTCATGTGAAGACGCCATTGTTACCACTGTGGGTGGCAGAATGCCAACACCACAATGTTCGGTTTGCAATTGTTTTCGGTTCTCGGGCCAATGGGAAACCACGCAAGGGTGCAGAACTAAGCAAAATGCCGCAGCACCTAACAAGCGTGGGAAGGCGGAATGCCAACGTCACAAACCCGAAAGAATGAACCTTAAGACCCGAATCACAATCCAATGAATCCACCCCGGGTGCAGCACTAAGCAAAATGCCGCAGCACACAACGAAGAGGAACTTGGGCTTGATAACCTGTCTACTTAGGGACCAAATCACAATCAAAGGTGGGACTCTTTCAGCGCCACCCGGCGATTACCGGCGACACGATGTCGGCCAGCTCACGGCGACCGCCCCAAGGAAGGTGGATGCCTTTCCAGGACTCCAGATGCCACCTGTTGAACTCAGCGCAGATGTCCCATTTGTCATCAATATGTACGAGGGGCAGGTTCTGCAAAGCCTCCACGTCGCGCAACGAGTTCCATAATTGGGTCGACTTATCTGGCCTGGGAATAAAAAGGCAAGCAAAATGCCGAACGGCGTAGCGATTCGTCCTACAGACGCGGCGGATTGCATCAATCGCGTTCTCAATCAGGCCATTCGTGGAGCATTTGCTGCATAGCAGCACGAGTACATCGGGTCGCGCATTCAAGCGTTAAGAACCTCCCCGGTGCTTGCGAAAGACCGGTCAAAGACTTTGTGGAAGTCGAGGGACAACACAAAGCGCACCCCTGCCCGATACTGCAATGCTCGCTGAAGATGTCTGCCAAACTCTGATGTGTCGTTAAAGGTGTGTAGCACTTCCAATGGCAGCGGCGTTGGTGGCTGCGGCACAGTAGCCGGTACAACAGAAGCAGAAGATGGCTCCTGTCTAGAATTATATTCCTCCCATTCTCTTGTTGTCCAAGAATTAACCGAACCCTCAACAACCGGATCAACACTACGAGGAAGGAAAGACTCGGGAATCGTTGGGAATTCTCGGGTCAAATCTTCTCCCTCTAGGTCCTGTGGCGGCTTTGGCCGCTTCTTGGGGCGAACTACCAAGTAGCCCCCTTCTGGAGCCTCCCGTCCTGCAGATGGAGGGATTGGCGTTCTAATCCCCAAGTGTTTGGGCCTAGAAGGTGGAGGAACCGGCGTCCTAATACCACTTATTCTTGGTCTAGACCTTGGGGGCTTCGGAGTATGAGGCAAGTTGGCCGAGGCACTAGCAGGAGGTCTCGGCGCGGGTGTCTCAAGAGAATCATCAATCAAGAGAGGAGCCGCCGCAGCGGACGATGCATTAAAATCCAAAGGAGGAGTAGCCGGAGCGGGTGGATCATCAACCAAAATGGGAGCCACAGCCGCCGCAGCAGTCAATGCATTATCATCCAAAGGAGGAGTAGCCGGAGCGGGTGGATCATCAACCAAAATGGGAGCCACAGCCGCCGCAGCAGTCAATGCATTATCATCCGCCGGAGGAGAAGGTGAAGCGGGCACAGCGATATCAGGGTAGTCTTCAGGCCGATCAGGAAAAAGCGCAACACTCTGAGTGAAGATAAACTCAGGTGTGTCCACCACAGCAAGACGCTGTTCAACTTCAATCAGCAGCTGCGACGCTTCGTGAGACTCCAAAGAATGAAGGTGACGCTGAAGACCACGATACAGCTCTACAGCAGTAGCCTTCCTCCTTCTATTCTTATTCGCCCCACCGCCCTTCGTTCCAAGAAAAGCTCGAAGTCGCCCGCTGATCTCAGCGTCAGATGCAATAGTCGGCGCAAGATCCAAAATGCGCTGTGTTGTAGCGTCCATCGGAGCTTCTATTAGACCGATGGTACGACCCAATTGCCGTCCTAGTGGCTTTCACTCAACCTTCCCCCGTGCCGTTAGAATGGCTCTAAAGGTGAATGGATGTGTGTGCGAACTGCCTTAGCTCGACTTCACAGCCTTAACGGTTCCTCGGATGACTAATAACCGGAAAACCGTCGCCAACCACACTAACCAGCAATCCGTCGGCTTCAAGCCAGCACAGAGGTGATGCACAATCGTCTTTGACGCCGAATCCTGAATCTTTGATTTCAGTGCTCGGGCAATGGTGCTTTGTTGATTGTTGCTCCTGTGGCGGGGTGCCAACAGGAGGGCAATAACCCAGTCAACCACAAGTCCTCAACCTAAAGGGAGAACCGCGGGACTGTAGGATGTGCCTTCGATGTTGTTTGGGACGATGGCGGTGATGGGAAACCGTTTGCAACCCTTCACTAAACCCGTCACACCACAAAGCCCTAGGCCTTCCTAAACCGTGAACGGGTCTTGGAAGAGGTGTATGGGTACTCGCCACAATCCTTGATTGGATAATTTGCAAGTCCACTCAATTGCTCAAGCAGACACGGGTCGGGAATTCAGGCTTGGAGGTCAGGTTAAGTTCACCGGTGGCGGGATGCCAGCGCGGTAATCCAGTGACGCCTTAGCCTGTTGCAATGCAGCAGCCTCGACGCAGCAGGCGGAGGCAGGCGCAAACGCAACCTTTCAGTTATGGGTAATATCTCGGGATTCCCCAATCGATATAGTCGTCTGCGTATCGGAATTGGGTAACCCTATGTATCTGATGCAATCGGTACAAGAAGAAGGATGTGCGAAACCACGATTCAATGGACCTGCGAACAATCCTTCGCCAGCGCGTTCTAGTCCTGTTCCACCTCCTACGATTCTCAAGGTAAGTGGGGAAGAACGTCTCAAGTACCCAAAGTCTTATGCTATAGTAAAGATCCACAAACCAGTCGTGCAGAGTTTCACACACAGTCGGATGCCCGTCTGCTCTGGGCATACACGGTGACTAAGGTGGTGCCTGAGGCCAAGGGGAGGGTCCACGAAGCGGAAACCACGGGACAGGTACCTCCTCAAGTCTACGACTAAACCACCTGCGAATTGTGACAAGTTCTTGAACCCTTAGTCTGGCTTGCCTATAAACCCTTTTCCTTAGGGCCCTTGCAAGTCTGGTCCAAAGATTCAGCGGATGACTGATGAGTGCACGTGTTCTTTGTCGCACGCGCAGTTGTTGTATGAATCTAACCCAGTGATTGAAGTGCGTAATGTTTGCAATATGGAACTCAACCCGGTGGCTTGGCTCTAGCTCTACGCGGGGAGTGTCAGTACGAGGCAGGACAACGGATGCGCCCTACACAATGCGATTTCGCTCTCTACACCAAAGGACGGTGGAGAAATATGCACGGCTATGGCTCAGGTAGGCTCTAGTTCACCTAGCCACAACACAAACGAAACTCTCAAAGCTGAGGCTGTTAACCACAAGAACACAAGAGACACAAGTGTTCTAGCAAGGAACAGCAACAAGTACAGCAATCGCACTTGTTTTCCTTGAGCCAAATGTTCAGTTGATGAGTCTTCGTTCTGTCCTAACTTGGTACTTGTAGTTACACTAGGAAACATGCCCGGGGTACGTGTTTTCTCAACTATCTCAAGGCCATTCCGAAGCTGAAGCTCGTCAGTCAAACCTCCATGACTAGGCTGGTTCGTGCATATTGTCCCTCCGTAGTAGGATCCTAGGTAAATGGACCCATCATCCCATTTGCAGGATCTCGAAACAACTCAAAGCATCGAATGTACCCTCAGTCAGGGCATCAGGAGCCGGGGAGCTGGCTTCCGGCTTTAGAGGTTGCAGGTTGGTGCAGGCTGTAGAGTCATATCTACAACTCAGAACCCCACGGAAGCACCAAAGCCCCAAAACCTCAAACGCTCAAACCTGATACCTTTCTTGGGACAGGGGACAGCAGGTTAAAGAAGTGCCACACGGCCAGGAATGGCCAGACCTGACCGGGCTTTCGGAGGGCGTAGCATCTAGAATTTGGGTTTTCGAATTAGAACGTTGCTCAGTGTGTTGTTAAGCCTCCAGCCCCCAACCCGGCACTCTAAATCCTGTCCGAGACCCCTAAGCCTACACTTGATAATCCCTATGATACAGGGGTTTGATTAACCAAGAAATCAAAACCGTCGTAGAGTCCCTACAGACTTCTGCTGCAACCTACTCCAAACCCCTTCAGACGAGGGTTCGGAAGGTTTCTGCTGAACAAACGCAACAGGACACTCTCAGTAATCGTATCACTGATCATTCAGGCCCCCATCTGTAAAATCCAAAAACACCAGAACATCAAAACCCTTGTTCACCCCTGGTGACCCTAAACCCGCCTTTGTGCCCGACCTCTGAACCCAGCAAGGCTTTCGGAGTTTGACTGGTTTCGGAGTTGCATGTACGACAAATCGAAGATGAAGGTACGGACCTGGTTAGAAAAGGCACAGCACGATAAAAATGGCACGAGATGGGCAAGCACAAGATTTGCACGTATGCATGCATGTATGCATGCATGTATGTGGCATATAAGTATAAACATAGTTAGAAGGGGAGAGGAGGTCGGACGAGACATTGAATCGGATCAGACAAAGTGAAATCAGATCAGACAAGATCAGGTGAGATCACGTAAGATGGGGTCAGATGGAAGCAGGTTGAATAAGGCAAGGGAAGCTAAAGATAAGGAGCATGTCAGGCAAATGGTAAGCTGCAAATGCAGCCAAGCATTGATATGTTAAGACAAGGCAAGCTTTGATAAGGACGGATAAGTTAAACAGACGGAGACTCTAGCACAAACAAGCCAAGATGATGAGACAAGACCGGGGAAATCGAGATACTGACAAGAACATGAACGCAAGCAAAGGATGATATGGTACTGCGCTGGAACACAATGAAGTACCTAATAACTCTCATGAGGCCACGTGAAGCCGGAGCATGTCACTAAAGGCCTTTCCTTTGAATCAGACCCAACATTTCAAAACAAGGCGCACTCAAAAACCAAGACGGTTGAGGCTTTAGGGTTTCGGACTTCATGTAGGGGCCTTAACCATTAGAACAGATTGTGGTTAACGCCCGTATTTTGGTGAAAGGTTCGGGATGGGGCGCGGTGACTAGACCCTAAAGTCATGAGGACTGAATGAGCTCAAGGTCCAAAACGAGGAGCCTTTGGACTTAGGGTTTCGGGTGGAGGCTGTGCTTGAGGGTAGCGAACTTTTCAGGGTTCAGGTTAAGGCTTTAGGGCTAAGATTCATATTTTCTGCGCTTCTTCACCGACTCCCGGATAGGTTTGAAGTCCTTTTGGACCCTGGGGGGTTTAGGGTATGGGTTTGCCACCACCAGGCCTTCTGCCTGGCCAGGCGGTCAGCTAAAAGGTTTGCCAAAGCCAAGAGTAGGCTGTACACGGCGAAGAGATAAAGGTTGCTGACACCTTGCTTCTTTTGCACGAAAAAAGAAGGGGTTTTGAAGGTTTCGGGTTTGGCATTTGGGGTTTACGGCTGAGTTGAGTAACATGAGCCTTTCACAGAAAAGGTGGCCTTAACACAAACCCGAAATATTCGAAGCCTTACTATCAACCGAAAAAAGCCCGATTGAGATTCCTCTCTCTAGCAGAGGCAATCATCCTGAAAGAAAGCCTAAATCCCCTTGCGACTTCCCAGACAGTCCAGCTAACCCCAGCTGAGGAATGCTCCCGAAACTAGATAGCGCTTCTGGTAATCGTCTTCGGAACAATTCTGGGCGTAGCGCAGGGGTTACATTCAAGGATTCCGGGCCTAGACCAAACCCTAAACACTTCATCCTAAACTCTTGACCTGAAACCCTAATTTCGATGATGGCTGCAGAATATTCTGGGCTTGCCGAAGAGACCTGATGATGGAAGTCTGAGAGGACTTTCAAGAGGCTCGGGGCTTCCAGCAATGAGGATGGTAAGGGGCTTAAGGCTTAGGGTGCCTAAACAATCATGTTTCTTAGACCCCTGAACAATAAGCCCGAAAAAATGCAACGCAGTGCCCTAAGCCTGAAATCCTAATGAAACCCCGAAGCCACTGAGCCACGAGACCCTAAAAAAACCTCCTGGCGGGCCTGCTCTGCAGTACTTATTCCTGAAAACAACCCTGTAAAATCACTCCATCTAGGCCCCTTGAGCCCCCAAGCAATATTTCGGAAGCAGCGTCGTAGTTCGACAGGAAATCCCTAGGCACCCCAAACCCAAATCCCACGGGTCTAAACGCCCAAAACCCTTACAAACCCCAAACCCATACTGTGAACCCTTTCAGCTGTAATGCCTCCACAACCAAAACCCGGAAAGACAAGGTGCTGTAGTTTGACAGGAGGAAGACGCAGCAAAGCACGATGATCAGCAAAGAAAGCAATGACCTCAAAGTCTCTTTGAGAGGTTCTACATGCATGAGGGCTTTCAGTTGAAGGATTTTACAACAAGTTTAGTATAATGGGGTTCGAAAACGTTGTAGAGGATGTTTTACCGTTGGGGTGTTCTCCAGACCTTCGTGGTTCCTGCAAGCAGGAGGGATCTTTGATATAACGATCCTGTGCTTTGCGGATCTATGTACTTGGTTAGGGATCTAGATTCGGGTCTCTTTCGCTCTGGTTTCAATTTCAACCACCTCTCTAACCCAGTGCAAAACCCTCAACAACGATTCCCAATTTCTTGACAGGAACCATAAAGAGCCGGATGCAGGAGCGAATTCGGCTTTAGGCTGTTGAGAGAAGATCCCAGACCCAGAGAGAACCAGCCTGTGTGTGGGTCCTCCATCACAAGGGATCAACCTAAACCGAACATCCTAAACCCGAAGCCCAAACAATGAGCCAAAAAAGAAAACCCCTCAAAACCGTAATCCCTAAAACCTAAAACTCTAAACCCCCCAAAACCTTAAGCCCTAAACCCACCAAAAACTTAAGCCCAAAACCTGAAACACCCGAAGTTCCTGGAAGA